GGCCTCGTGGACCCCTCGCCGCCCCTTGTTTATACCGGGTCTGCAGAGAGGTGGGGGCGCAGGACCACACTGGGGGTGTGGCTGCCTCCGCCGCCGGCCGCGGTGCTGCTGTGGGGAGCAGAGCCAAGGTCGTGGCGCTGGCGGCCACTGCCGGCAGCAGCAGCCTGGGGAGCCAGGCCGCCAGCTCAGGCTCCCACCCTGGCCCCCGCGGCTTCTGCTGGGGAGGGGGGGAGGGCCCACCTGCCCCCCTGCACCTGTGCTGCTGGTCAGAGCCCTGAGGAAGGACTGGGAGCACCCCCGCCCCCCGCAGGGATGGATGGGTGTGGGCTGCACCTCTGGTTCAGGAGTGTCTGGGCACCTGGCGGCCCCTCCCGCCCCAGCCCCTGGCTCTGAGCGGGGCGCCCCTCCCCTCCCCTCTCTCCTGCAGGCTGCTTGGGGGCTGGGGCCTAGGGCCTTGAGCCCCAGGGGCCTGCGGGCACCACCTCTGAGGGGCTGGGGTGTGGCGGAACTGGCTGCAGGCCGTCTGGGCCCAGAAACGGGGCTGCTCTGCAGAGGCCGCCTCAGCCGGCCAGCGGGTGAGGGAGGAGGGCGGAGGGTGGCGAGGCTTCCACCTGGCGGCCGCGGTGGACCCGGCTCCGGCCCAGCCGGTCTGTGGGGTCCACGCCTGCTCCCTGCTCACTGTGGGCGCTCAGTGAGGCCCCAGGAAGCGCCCGCGCGGTGACCGTGACCAGTTCCATAGATGGCCCCGCCAGGCGAGCCAGAAAAGTGGGGGTGCACACTCCCCCTTCTACTCTACCTGCCACCACTCCCTCCGCAGGAAGCGCCCTGTCCTTGCGCCTGGCCGCCCGCCGGGGCCTCTCTGGGCGCTGCCAGGCCCCGGCCCTCGGGCGGGAGGGACCCCGGCCTGTTGGGGCTGACTCACGGGCGGGCGCAGTAAATCTCGGAGAAATCCCTCCACGACTTAGCTCGGTCGTCATGGCAACGCCGGCCTGCTTCGAGCCAGACGCATTTTGATTCCTCAAAGTACAGCTTGGAGTTTGGGCCATGGGTGGGGGGCGTCGGCCGTCCCCCCCCCCCCGTGCCCCAGTCTCAGGCGTGCTCCTGCGCCCCGTGGCTGCCACCTGGCTGTCGCCTCCCTCTGCCCCCACACTGCCGTGTCACCCGGGCTCCGGCAGCGCCCCCACCCCTGACAGAGCCGCCCCTCACACACGCCCCCGCGGCGCCCTCCAGGGCTGCTCTGGGGGACCCTGGGGCGCCTTCTGCGGGGTCACACCATCCTTGCGGCCCGAGCTCCTGGCCCCGCTTCCAGAGGCCACCCCCTTCGCCCTTGGCGGCCCGCAGCTGTGGCCCAGCGCCAGGGTCGGGGACCGCCTGCCCACAGGGTGCCCGTGCAAGGGCCCCAGTGGGCCCGGAGGCCTGGGCTGGGCGTGGGGTCGCGGGCTCTGTGGCTGGGCTGACCGCCAGAACCTGGGTCCCGAGAGCAGTCAGAGGGTGACCAGAGACACGTGTGCTCACTGGCTGGGGTTCAGGGCTGTGGTCGCACTCGAGGAGCAGGGACGGGGCTCCCGGGGACCCCGCAGCCTGCCGCCACTTGCCCATCCCAGTGTCTCGCCCTCCACGCAGATGAGTCCCGGGTGTGGGCTGGCAGGCGTCGGCCCCGGCCCCGTTCCCCACTCCACTGGCAGCTCTCCTCTTTGAAGAGACTCGGGGGTAGGGTGACCTCAGCAAGATGTCCCCCTGGCGTGGGGAGTGGCCCTGTCTTGACTGACCCCCACAGTGCCTGTCACTTCCTGGCCTCGCCCTCCAGCCCCTTGCGAGTGTCGGTCCCTGCCGGGGCGGCCAGTGAACAGTGGACCTGCCCAGGGGCTCCATATGGCCCTGGGGGTGGGGGTACACAGGACGTGGGGGGCCACTGTGGGGCGACCACGCCTGGCTCCTCCCACCATGGCATTGTCCGGCGGGCACGGTGCCAGCTGCCCCGTCCTTCAGTGCGGGGTGACAGCAGAGTTCCGGCCAGCTTGGGGCCTCTGAGTGACTGCTCTGGCCGCCCCATGCAGGTGGCCCTGGTGGCTGGGAGGAGCCAGGGCCAGGGCATCGATCTCCTGAGGGCCTCATGCCATCCAGCTGCCGTGGCAAGCAAGGACAGTGGCCACCCTTGTGTGCAGGGGGTGGCGGGGGGTTGCCCGGGGGGCCAAGGGCCAGATCACAGGCGCCGGGGGCGACAGGAGGCGGGGCCACGGCTAAGGGTCCGAAGCTGGGGGGCCATGTGGGCGCCCGAGCAGGAGCACCCCACACACAGCCGCACAGCACGCCCCGAGGAGCAGGGGCGCGTGGCTGCCCTGGGGCGCCAGCTGGGCGGGGGGAGGGCCGAGGAAGCCGAGGTCCCAGCCTGGCTCCTCTTCCTGCGGGCCGGGGATGGGGGCCCCGGAGGGGGCCGCGGCTGAGCCTGGGCAGCGGCCGGGCAGTGGGCACGCGCGAAGCCCCTGCGAGCTGACGGCAGCCGGCTCTGGGGTCCCCTCGCCCCCCTCAGCCCCGTCAGCATCTGAGCCCAGGGTCAGGGCCACAGGGCTGGGCAGGGGTCGAGAGCAGACGCCGATCGGTCCTGACTTGGGTGTCAGGGGCCTGGTGGGCTGTTGGGGGACCCACACCGTTACCCAGAGGCCAAGGCAGAGTGGCGGGCGCTGCGTGACCACTGCGCAGCCAGAGTGGCCCCTGTGTGACTCTGTCCGCTGTCCCCTGCCCTCGGCCCCGCCCCCACCCGGCCGAGGCCTGGACAAAGGGGCTTCTGTCCGGCCAGCCCTCCCTCAGAGTGGCTGACCCACAAACGGGTTATGTAACCGCGGCCCCGACAGGCAGGGGCTTGGCCGAGGCCGCCTGGCCTGGCGCCCACGGAGGGGTGCGGGGTCCCCTCCTCCGGCGGGGAGCCGGCGGGGCCGCGGGGAGATGGCCCTGGAGGCGGCCTCGGCCCTCGGTGTCTCGCAGGGGATGGCCGCGTGTGCCCCGGGCCCTCCGAGGTGCCGCCTAGGCCTGGGTGGTCAGGGCGCGGGGAGGCCGCGCTCCTGGACGGGCTGCCCTTGCCCGGATCCGGGCCGGACAGCCTCCGGGCC